TAATATTTACCAGTGTTCGACGAAAATTAGTGGGTGGGTCAGCTAGCAATTTTCTCGGAAACCGAGTGAGCACTTAAATTAATTTTGGAGGCCCTAAATCGCACCTAAATTGCACCTAATTCCTGAGTAATTTTTATTATTTTTTGGAGAAGTGGGTCAGCTAGTGTGACGGACGTATTCCATATGGTATTACAGCGCCACTATTCTTGGTCTATGTGTGAGGAGGATTCGGCTCTTTATTCGTTTCAATTTAAAGTAAAAAATTTTACTTTACATACCGATTTTATTTTAAACGCTATTTTTGTATTGGCCAGCGCAAAAGATCTTATTAGGCGCCGCGAAGCAAGCGGGCATTGGCTAGTGTATGTATATATGAACCGCTCAGGAACAATTTACTACAAGAGCGTGCAATTGCTGCCTTATGCCAATGTCATCGACATCATCGGTAACATAAACAGCGAAGTCTGTTCTGCCTTTTCCAAGTTGGATAAGGAAGCAAAGCGTATGGGTCTGGTGGTGAACGAGGACAAGACGAAATAACTCCAGTCTTCAAACATTTTTCAGTGTCCGCGTCCGTTTATCGGAAAGTCCGTGTATGGAAGAGCATTTTGTATGGGAAAAAAACAAAAATTGTTCGTTCCCAAGAATGTGTCCGCTTATTAGAGCGTCCGTGTAAGAGAGCTTTCACTGTATACGTTTTTGTGCAGTATGTTTATTTGTACATATAAGCATATAAAGCACATTTAACTGGTTGAATCATAAATTTTTTATAAATTTGATGTTATCATAGAACTCATAAAAACATATTTTTGCTTGTATGTGTTGTTGGCCGCTGTAACCAAATGTTTAAAGGTGCGTTCCACCACTCCGAATGACCTGGGTTCGAGCCCTAGTCAAAGCAATATCGCAAAAACATATAAAAAAAAAATATTCCGACGAATTGATAAATATAATGTTTGGATACTGTTATTCTGCAAACAACAAACTGTTTGTTTATGCAGAGTTGCGAAACATTGCAACCATATACATTGCATATTTTAAATATTCAATATAACAATTTTTCTGAATTTTCCCTTTTAAAAACACCAATGGTAACCAAAAACAAACGAAGCACCAAGTTTGTTTCTGATGCGCGGATTGCTCTAGCGATACGTTTCCATAACTTTTGGGATGCGTTTAGGGAAAGTATACATTGTCAATATTTTGTAGTTCAGCGTTATGGAACATTATACTTTGTACGTATGCAAAGCAATTGCCGTTTTGGAAGTCAGCCGTTTTTTTAACCGACTTCCAAAAAAGGAGGAGGTTATCAGTTCGTCGGAATATTTTTTTATTTTTTTTTTGTATGTATGTTACCGCATAACTTTGGACCACCTGCGTCAACCGATTTCGATAATTCTTTTTGCATCGGAAAGGTAGTGTCTCAGAGGTGGTCCCATACTAATCTGGTTAAGATCCGATCAGTGGATCATGATATATATATATATATATATATATATTTGTTTTATATGAGAGTTGAAGTCGGTTTTTTTTGCTAAAAATTATTTGTCTTAACAGCGGTCGCCCCTCGGCAGGCAATGGCAAACATCGGAGTGTATTTCGAAGGCGGCGTAAAACTGTAAGGCCCTCCATTTTTGTAACAGCATCAAGACGCACACCACAAGTTTGAGAAGTGCGGCCAAACACTTAGGTGTAAGCGCCAAAATATTATTATGTATTATTATTATAATATTCCGCATTTTTGGAAAGATTAGTGAAATTACGAAATTTGTTCATGAAAAATTAACAACCGTATTTTTGGCGAGAGATATAATTACCACCCTTTAAAAGAAAATTTAGTCTCTGGATTACCTGTGTGGAAAAGAAAAGCATTTAATGTTTCCCACCTTTTTACAACTTTCTACAAGAAACGCGATGAATTGCCAAATGAAATGTGAAATGTCATAATTGGGCACTTGGCAAATCTCCTGAAATCTTTGTCAGATTATTTTTGGGATGGTAGTAGTAATAATATCGATTGGGTACAAAATCACGAAGCATGCATAGATCTTCAGAGTACTTCGATATTGAAACACACATTTGAATCTGTGTCTCTGAACGAATTTTGGGTTAGTGTTAGGAGTGAATACCATGAAGTCGCTGAAAAGGCTATCTTTACTTTGCTTCCTTCTGTCACAATGTATCGTTGTTGAACAGGGTTTTAGCTTACACTTATACAAAAAACAAATACAGGTCGAAATTGGATGATGCCCCATAAATGCGCATACAGGTTTCAGACTATTTTTAGCAAAGTTTTTATTCGTATTTAAATTGCATACAGGTTTCAGACTATTTTTAGCAAAGTTTTTATTCGTATTTAAATTGCACTGCCTTTGATTTTTTAGTAATTTCATGTAAGGGTTCCATCATCTCAAACGTTTGGGAACCCCTGGTCTAACCGCTTATTATTGAATCATATGTAAAAGTGGCATTCGATTGACCAGTGGGAGCGAGAGGGAGAAAATAGAGCGTCAAAATGTGTGTAGTTGGTGTTAGAAGAAATGTAGTGCATACACTTGCCTGCATATACATACATATCTGCGCACGCCTATTCTTTTTAAAATATTCGCAATGTTTTGCACCCTAAATATTTTTTTGTTATATTTTTACAAAAATATGGTTCATGATATAAACAAAACCATATATGTAAATAAAAGTTTCAAATTTAATACAAAATTAAAGATATATCAACGAATTTTCATCAAAAACAGTTTTGCAAAACCAAGTTTTAAAATTTTTCCCCGCCTAGCGCCAAAGCTCCTCCCTTCTTAATCTTTAACTGTGGACAAGGCATCTCACAGTCTTTTACGCTCCTGTCGAAGAAGACTGAAATTGCTGTGTGGTAATTTTGATACAATTTTTTGGTCCGTTTACAACAAAAATTTATTATTTATTTAATTTTTATTGGATTTTTTTTGCTATAAACTGCATATGCGTCAGAAATTAATTTTTTGACCTTTTTTTCGGCCGGCAGGGTGTTGTAACCCCTTAAGTAAACAATTTCATAGAAACATGTGTTGGGCGGGAAAAGTTAGATGTAGTGTATTGTTTCACGACAAAGTGTTCGTTGTAGCCGAAAATAGCTTTTTCTTCAGTGCATACTTATTCATATTCGTTCAACGACAAGCATTCACGGCTGATATCATTTTCGCTCTTTATACAAATATGTGAATGTACATACATATGTATGTGCATAAATTCATTCTCACAAATGTATAAACACATATGTACAGTGAATGTATACACGTAGTGCAGTGGTATGTTTGCTTGCCGACTTCTGTTTTTAATTCGTTTGTGAAAACAGCTGATTTACCGCCACGATTATTTGTGCATACATATATGCCATACACAGATATATGAACAAACATACATACATACATACATATGTATAAAAGTGCCTAAGTGTGTGCACTTTCATTTATACATTCCACATAGCACTAGATACATATAGTATATACACATGCATATACATCCATATGTAACTATATGCATGCACATGAAATCAGCTGTTTCTGTAAAACGATCGTGAGTTCACAGTTGTTTTTTTCCAGTTTCTCTTTTGGCATTACTTCTTATCGAACTTTGGACATGTCTCGCATACAAATTTCTCCGTCGGCGTTGTAAGCGAACTTTGTTTCTACATTTAATAACCGTCATCGATTCGCCAACAGTTAGCAAGTGGCGAAACGAACAAACTCAATGAGGTACAGCCAAACTCGCTAACGTCTATCCGTGCTAGCTACCTTTGTTGTTGCTTTCACATGCAAAATTCTTCTTTAAGCGACCGGAACTCAAACATAGCGAGCGAGAAGTGGCGAATCGATGACGGCTAATAAAACATTAGCACGGATAGACGATAGCGAGTTTGGTTGTACCTCATTGTGTTCGTTCGTTTCGCCACTCGCTAACTGTTGGCGAATCGATGACGGCTATTGTAACTGCGCAGGTGTTATCTAATCTAAAATTGGCGAGATGTAAAAAAATGGCATTGTTTGCGAAGGTGGTCCATGGATGCTTTCTTAAAGCTTAAACAGACGGCAGCGTTGATCCGGATTAACTCGGACTTAATTCGGATCAACCGCAGTTAACTCCCGAGTTGATCCGGATCAACACTGCCGTCTGTTTATGCTTTTACGTCGCTTACATCAGTTGGCCTTAATGCGCTGCTTAAGATCGAAGAAGTCTTTTACGCATATAGTATTTATTGCAACTGTTTCTGTTTTGTCTGTAAGAAAATAACGATTTAAATTGAAATAAATATTGGGTTAGACTGGCGTAAACTTGTTTCACTTGATATTTTTCCAAACGAAAACATTTTAATTCCAACATGGTAGAGCTTTCAAAATTTCTGCCCAAATACTAATAGCCAATTTCACAACGAATTCAAATGGAAAATTATTTTTTATTTTCTGTCAATTTCCATATTAAATTCAACAAATTTAAATCATTTTTCACTTAAATTGCTTTCGTGAAATTGGTTGTAAAATTCTCATGGAGTAAGGTTTGGGCTTTGGGGCGGATGCCTCAACACCTCTAAGCCCAGGTCACTCACTATGGTCTATCATTGTCGTGATGCAGGACAGCACTATAATCGCATAAGCTGTTGACAGGGAAGGGTCATGCCACTGGTTTGGCCTAGTTCAGGCGGCTAATAATGAACTATTTATTTATTTGTAATTGTCGCATGGGACTCACTATTTGAACCCGTAATCATTCGTTTAAAAAATTTCGGGATTTCACTTCAGCAGCGATTAACGTATGGCACGGAACCTTACGACGCACATTGTTATTTAGGCGGAAAAAATAAAATTTTTGGAATATTCAATTTTTATATTTGAATGGTTTAGCCCAACAAGTGATATTTGAATAAGAAAATTTCTTTATAGCTTTGTACGAAATTGGCAGTTTTATACAAAATAAAAGCAACAAAAGTCAGAAGAATTTTACTGCACCTGATTCGAGATTTTTGTTCAATTAAGCAATTGTTTTTCTTTTAACTTTTGCTTTTGTTGTTTTTGTTATAGGTTCATATGAAAATATAGCACTTACTAAACAAAATAGAGAAAAAATCAAGGCAATAGACCAAATATTTTAACAGTGTAAGCAGCCAAAAATGACACTTTATAAATGCTAACTTTGACACTTTTGATGGACAAAAACTGTTTCCTTCGTCTTTTTTCAACTTCTTACTATAAAAAAATTAATGAACGGAATATTTTCTGTCGATTTGTGAAAAAAAAAATTTGGTCATATTTGCGACTATTAACGTAACCTTAATTTTTGAGATTTTTTTTGTGTAGGGTGTTGTGCTTTTTCTTCCATATAAAAATAGGTTTTAATCATGCGTTATTTACATCTCAGAAACCGATAAAATTAAATATTAATAAAACGTTTGAAAAACAATAAGCACACATTTCATATCCACTGGCATAGCGCTTTCTAAAAAAATTATTATCCTTAAATCATATAAAACATATTTCAATAACCAACATGAATTCGCTTTTAATATCGGAAAACAGATGCTCCGGTTGTGTTCAATATAAAAATAAATTGTGTGTATTCGTTGTATGGAAGCAAATGGGACAAAAAATCTAAAAAATCAACCGTGATTTTTAGCCATTTGAAACTTTACTTTATTCTACTAGAGTTCAAATTAAATAACCAGTAATTTTTAAGCAAAAAACACAGCCGACTTCAATTCTCATATAAAATTTTAGGAGTACCGTTGATTTCTTCATTATCCAAAGATCGGTTCTAAACCAAATTAGTATGGGACCACCCTTGATGTACCACCATTCCGATAAAAAATAAGAATTATCGAAATCGGTTCGTGGTTCAAATTTATGCGGTAACATACATAAAAAAATATTCCGACGAATTGATAACCTTCTCCATTTTTAAGTCGGTTAAAAAAATATGTTAAGACGGCTGTAATTTTTTCGACCACTGTATTTATATGAACTTCTGGATTCTCCTTTTTCGAAGTCCAATAACTCTTGTCTAAGTTTAAAAATTTTGCTATTTTTCTTCTACAGACTTTCAAACACGCTATAACAACGGCCAAGTTAATTGTAACAAGTAATTTTTAGCAAAAAAAAACCGACTTCAACTCCCATATAAAATATATATATATATATATATATCTCATGATCCACTGATCGGATCTCAACCAGATTAGTATGGGACCACCTCTGAGACACTACCTTTTCGATGCAAAAAGAATTATCGAAATCGGTTGACGTGGTCTAAAGTTATGCGGTAACATACATAAAAAAAAAAAAAAAAAAAAAATATATATATATTCCGACGAACTGATAACCTCCTCCTTTTTTTGGAAGTCGGTTAAAAAGAGAAATTTAACTTCCTAAAACAAATATAATTTGTGCAGTTGCCTTGGCTAAAAAACACAAAAACTTGATATACTATACAAAAACCTCATCCTCTTTACGTGGTTTTATTTATTTATTTTCTATTTTTTTCGTATATTTGTTAGTGTTAAAAACGGGATCAGATAATGACACGGCTGTTCAACAAGTCGTAACAGAATTGTTGAATGAACAGACCTCATGCAATGAAAGCATGGAAATACTCAATACTGGTTTCTCCGATTTTATTTACACGGATTATTTACCACTCCCTAAAAGATATTATAAACGGTTTATATTTAAATTTTTTTAATTGTATAATTGTTGAACAATTTTTAACCGACTTCAAAAAAAGGAGTAGGTTATCAATTCGTCGGAATGAATATATAGTTTTTTTATGTACGTTACCGCATAACTTTGGACCACGTCAACCTATTTCGATAATTCTTTTTGCATCGGAAAGGTAGAGTCTCACAGGTGGTCCCTTAAAAATTACTTGTTTTCTGTACGTGTCTCATTATGTGCCTTTAACCGCGTAATAAGCGCTATGTTGAATATCGTCATCGTCAGTAAAAGTGACGATAGGGCCATCGTCAGCCATGTTACTGATGCGCTGACGATCGTCGACGATGACGATGACGATATTCAGCATAGGGCCGATTGGTTTTTCTAAGGGGAACTTTTCTTTCGATAGTGACGGATTTTAATCTTCATTTAAATTCAACTGCAGGCGAGGAGATTATGCAAAAAGTTGGTATCGCTTTGTCGAGTTTTCAATTGTAAAAAATATCAACCAGAGGACAAGTTAGCTAGTGTAAAAAATATATAACATTTATCTACATACTTACATACATATGTATATGATTTGTGAAAAAAAACAAGCAATTCATACACACATACATCACATCAGCTACCAATTTTGTAAAATTTTACTCGCATTCATACTACTATTTACTACATATTTGTTATATACGAACTATTTATCTAAGCGGTTATTGAACTTTTGACCTTTCCCAGATGCTGCCTCGGACGTATGTGTGTTCCACACATACATATACAGAGGTATGTTTTGTATTGTGCGTATGCATGCCGATGGGTGTACTATATAATAATTTCACCGGGAAAGATGCTGAGCTTAAATGCATGTGACAAAAAGCACAAAATCCCAGCAATAACAAAATCAGCAGCATTCAAGGGATAGTATTGCATCATGCAATTTGTTGAGGTATTTCAAAATTTCGTCTACAAGTAGCAAGCAGTTGCATGCGTTCGATATTTAGTACATGTACGCAGTACATATTTTTTTTCATATGTAAATATGTATATACAATGTACATTCGTATGTGCATACATACATACATAATTGTATAGGGTCAAAGCTTCGCACAGCTTACATCACAGATGCTTTCCAACGATATTGACTGCGCGCTCGATGACAAAGCTGCAGCTTTTACAAGTGTGCCGCAAAATGCTTCTGGAAAATAATATCGATCCGCTTTCCAGCAACCCTCAAACTGTGTGTGCTCCTTAGAAATGCAGAGTCGTACTTTTAGTGTTCATGTATGCACATATGTTTAAACACATCCACGGTTTATGCTAGTCTGTTGCTCTAAGAGCATCACCATCAGTATGCACACACACGAAAAATAAAGTATATTTACCGGCTGTCTTCACATGCTTGAAAATCACGCTTGCGTTCTGCTTTTTTCTCTCACAAGCGGGATAGTTTTGTTGATTGGACATTTGGCAGCACACTTTTTCATTTGTAAAATGTCGCCAAAAAATAAGGTTACAGCTTTTCAGGCTAAATTTGTATTTTCTACTAAAATAAACGATGTTTCTACTCTGAAGAATTCTGCGAAATGAGAAAATACCTGTCAAATAACAAAAATTATAGTTGAAAGCATGCGAGATCTCGCAAACCGCTCGGTATGTGAGAAAAAGTATGCTTCGTACTTTTTGCGGTCTACAGAGTGGGATGATCTCGCATGCGTCGTCACGCAAGCGATATTTTCCAGCACGTGAAGACGGCCGGTTAGGCACCTAAAACGGGTGACTGACAACTAGGGTGATTAAGGTTTTTCGAGACCGGTTTCCACAGTATTTTTTTGGAAATCTATATACGGTTTTTTTTTTTTTTGAAATATGGATTTTCGAATATCGAATAAACCGAATTTTTTGATAGAACAAGCCGGATTTTTCATTTGATCCAAATCTTGACCTCTGAATAAAACTTTTAGGTTTTGCAAGCTTTGCGGTTCAAGGGAAGTCAAGCTCCTAATTAGTTTCAAATTGATATCCTGAGTTATTTGGGGATGAACAGTATATCATATTTGATTCCAATAAACGAATGCTTGGCGATTCAACGCTTTCTACGTGTTTGGGCGAGCTCCTCTCCGCATTCATGTTCTGCTTCTTTTTTATGGCAGAAGTACACGAAGAGGGTTGCCATTGAGTGCCAAGGGGCGGCAACTTCTTGAAAAGACCTTTGTTGATGTTGCTGCATCCAGAAAGTGAACCAGGGATCTCCCGAGTGGCAGTAGGCATCTCTAAGCTTTCGGCTGCGGTGGCAAAACCAAAAAATATCAGAAAATATGCAGTAAAGTAATAAAAAATACCAAACGTGAACTTTTCGCTGATTTTTATTTGTTTTAGTTTTGATATAAAAAAACGTTGTACTTATTTTGCTTTGCCCTTTGCTGTTAATAGTTTTATTGTATTATTTTGTCATGACTTCATACCAAGATAAGATAAAATATGTAAAATAAAACCGGTTTATGCGGTTTTTTCTTAATTTCAAAATAGGCTACCGGTTTTTTTTTTTTCAATTGCAATCTTTCAAATTAACACGAAAACCCTACTGACAACCCACCTATCACACCTACATACATTGCACACCTACAATGGGAGCACTCAGAACGGTCCGTTGTCGGTTGAAGTTTATTGGGATACAATATTCAAGCTAGGAAAATAGAATCCAACTATTTTTCTTAAAATTAAATGCACTTAGTATGCCACAAATATATGATTGTATGTACATATTTATGCACGCATAAGCAGAGCATTGGCTATACTTTCCGCCACCGCCCGTTATTGCGAGTTTGCGCAAATAGGCTCACAGCAAATTTCTGGTTATACTATTTATAAAATACAAGTACATACATACTTGTATACAGTTTGTGAAATTTTTAAATAATTTTATACCAATAACGATCTTCTTAGCTGTGTGACTAAGGTGAAATTGCCAAAAATATACGTTGACTTAAATCAAATTGCATGTATCAATCAATAGCAGCGTCTTTACTGGGAAGCCAAATGACTGTGACACCCAGGCAATAAATGTAGGACATAGCTAGGGATTTGGCGCGTACATAGACGTTGGAAATTGCATAATATATGCGTGTACATAGAAGTAGAACAGGAATTGCTAATAGGGGGCATTGCTCAATTCCACAGCATTCACAAAATGTAAATTTTTTTTTCGAAAAAAGGCGCGCATATCATGAGTACATACTTATACTTTGTATACATATACATACAATTACACATATTGTGGCATGGTTTGGTGTGGTGTGGTGTAACTTACCTTACTCAACTTGTCGCCTTCGTGGCGTGGTAGGAGCGAGCGTAAATTCTGAAAACCGGCATTGATGCTTTGCATTCGTCGTCGTTCGTTGCTATTGGCGATTTCTCGTCGCATACGTTTCTCACTCTCTAGCAGGTTTTTATTGCCGCTATTGGTGGCACTGCCGTTTGGTGTGGTGCTACCACCGCCACCACTGCCACCACTCTTTATTGATGCACTGCTCGTATTCATGCCGGAATTAGTGTGGCGCTGACGCTGTGGGATTTGCGGTTCCGCCTGATACTGAATATATTCACCTCCGGAATCTTCTAATTGTAGTCTGAAAGAGCGTAAAAAGTAAGTCATTAGATCTCGTAATGTGTATGTAAAAAAAATTGGGTACACCTCTTTTGATATACATACATCTACTACTTAGTATAGGTTTGTATGTACATACATTAGGGTGCCCATCGAAATTTTTTATTTTTTTTTTGAAGTTTCAAGACCATACAACCTAATTTTATTAGTTTTTATGGGAAATATTATTGCCTATTTTTATAGATATTTTAAAGGTCATTTAGAGGTCAGTGACCTGTCGATTTAGGTCAGAAAATTCGATTTTGTAGATTTATGAGTTTTTGAATGAGTATTTTTAATTAAATGTCAGGGATCGAATGTGATATGAGGCATTTAAAATGGTATATAATAATCTATTGTCGGACTTAGCTTTTTGGGATTTTTTATCGAGTAAAATAAAAAAAACGTATTTCTTTTAATTTTTTAAATTTTGGCCATCGATAATTTCCAAAATTTCAAAATATGTTACTATCTAAAATTAAATCTAATTTTAAATAAACTGATATCTCAATTATTGCAATCTTATAAAAATTGTCGAAGTTAGGCGACTTTTCTTAAATACGTCCCTGAATTTATATTTTTTATGTAGCGGACTTTCAGATTATTTGAGCAGTGTGGCTAAGGAATTCATCAATATTTATTAAAAAAATGTCATGTAAGTGTATCCCAAAAACTACTTGACCGATCTCAACTAAGGTTTCTTAAGCGCCATATTGGAAATTTTTGAAATCGGACAAAAACCACGGCCGGTTCTACGTACCGGAATGACTCGGGTTTTACCCGACCAAGGGCTGTTGTTTCGGCGATCTAACCCCTTAAGTCGGCGAAATCCATCAAACGTTGCTCGATTCTAGGGCTACACCTTCTCCGCACCCTTCTGCTCAGGGCTGGCATAGAGTTAAACCCAGGGCCAGAAATCTACACCTGCTGCGTATGCCAGAGACGACTGCATACAAACTCCACCTCGGTCAGGTGCAATGCCTGTGACGGGTGGAGTAACCTCCGTAACTGCTCGGGCCTACGTACGCACCGGCAATGGACCACGTCGTTCATGGCCACATGCTGTGCGAACCGAACGGCAAACCACCACCCGCCTGGGCAGCACACAATCAACACACCCACACCCCAACACAACACAACAATAGACACACAAACAAACACAATAGCACCCACACACCGCCGCCGGCAACTCCTAGTCCCTCCGAAAATCTGCTGTCAGTCCAGAATATACCGTAACGTTACATCAGTCAAGTGCAACTCTTGCCTCGGCTGGTGCCACTTTAGGGCGTGCTCAGGACTTCGCAACACGCGAGATTGGATAGTGACTATGTGGGCCCCTGCTGTGCTGCCCCATCGCATCCCTCCCCCGCGACGCCGCCAACCACCACCACAAGGCAGCACCCCCTTTTGCAGCACGTACAGCAGGGGGCCGGCAGGCAACACAACTGTTTAACACCACACATCACAATCGATCTCCCAAGGCACACAAAGGTGCTACAATTTAACTGTACCGGACTCCAGAGCAAGATCGAGATAACTGTCTTTATGGGAAGGCATGGAATATTAATAGCTGCGGTCCAAGAGACGAAGTTGCACGCCAATTCAACCCTGTTGAATTGTGCCGGATACAACGTGCACCGTCGAGATCGCGAGCGAGATAATGGTGGAGGTTTAGCGTTCATCACGCACCACACTGTGCAGTTTCGTGTCATTGAAGCAGACATCGACCGCAGGGATACCCTCCTAGAATGTCAGGGTATTGCTATCCGGTCAGGCGATGTTGAACTTGAAATATTTAACGTATACATACCCCCTACTCAGAGGTGAAAACCGTATGGTAGTTGGTGACTTTAACGCGCACCACGATCTTTGGCACTCAAGCCTGTCAAATGATCGTAGGGGAATACATCTGGCTGAGCAGATAGACGATTCGACATACTGCACAATGAACGACGACGCACCCACCAGGATTATGGGCAGCTGCTGCAGCTCACTAGATCTAACAATTGTCAGCGCTGGTCTGATAAACAGCGTATCATGGCCGACCTATGCTGACTCTAGCATCAGACCATCTGCCCATAGTCATCTCGATTGATAAACCTGCCGACTTTGCTTCCGTGGATCACCGGACTTATGTCAACTTTTCCAAAGGTGACTGGAAAGGCTTCACGGATATTACTGAGGGCGCCTTCACTGCACTACCCATACCAACCGACGTTCATGTAGGTGAACGTAAGTTCTGCTGCAGCTCCCTTCATACCAGCAGGATGTATTAAGGATCCATGTCCGAATTTTCCTGCCGAAGCGGCTGTTCTAGCTGATGAGCGCGACAACCTTCGTCAGGCCGATCCCGGAAATCCCCGTATTAGGGATCTCAATTCGGAGATTCGGCAACTTGTGAACGTACATAAGCGGAAGAAATGGGAAGAGCATCTGAAGACCTGCAACTTCGCCTCTGGTGTGAGCAAGCTTTGGTCAACCGTGAGGTCGTTGTCCAACCCGACGACGCGCGACGACAGAGTCGAGATAAACTTTGGTGACCACGCTTCGTCGGACCCGGAGAGATGCGCGAGCTATTTTAGCCGGCAGTTCATTCTGCATCCTCCGGTGGATAAAGCCAAACGTCGAGTGACCAGAAGGCTGCCAAAATGCCAAAACCTAGTGCGCCTCTTGTTTTCACCAGCGGTGTGGTAAGGGCAGCCATCGGGAAGGCGAAAGCCTACAAAGCCATTGGAGCCGAAGGAATATGCATGTTGATGCTGAAAAATTTGGGTCCTGCTACTCCCGTACCTAACGGAGGTCCTCAACCTGTCTATGACCACTCTCGTCATTCCAGACATCTGGAAAATGGGGAGAGTGGTCCCACTGCTCAAACCGGGGAAACCAGCCAACAAAGGAGAGTCTTATCGCCCGATAACTCTCCTTTCCCCGGTAGCGAAGACACTCGAGGCCCTGCTGCTCCCGTACTTCACGAACCACCTGACCCCAGCGAAGCATCAACATGGGTTCCGTAAAGTGCATAGTACAACAACAGCACTTAACGCCATAAACACTCAGATAACTCGTGGCCTAAACCGAAACCGCCCCTGTGAGAGAACTATTCTAGTAGCGTTGGACCTGTCCAAGGCGTTCGACACTGTCAGTGATTCAACGCTACTAAAAGATATAGAGGCCTCCTCACTCCCACAGGGACTCAAACGGTGGTCGGCGAATTACCTGAGTGGTCGACACTCGTCAGTTATTTTCAGAGACAAAACTAGCAAGCCACGTAAAATTAAACAGGGGGTACCACAGGGTGGTGCCCTGTCCCCGCTACTGTTTAATTATTACATATCAATGCTCAGCCACCATAGGGTGTTAATATAGTCTCGTATGCTGACGATTGTTCGATCATGGCGTCTGGAAATGGAATTGATGACTTGTGCTCGAAAGTAAACAGTTGCCTCTCCGAATTTTCTCGCTTCTTCACTGCAAGGAGCCTTGCCCTATCCCCTGCGAAATCGTCGGCAACCCTTTTCACCACCTGGACCAAGGAGGTCAGACTGCCACTGGGTATTCACGTCGATGGCCTAACAATACCGACGGTGAATAAGCCGAAAATCCTCGGGCCAAAGATAAAGAAACGTCGTTGGCAACATACAAGGCAATTGGCCGACCGGTTCTAAACTACGCAGCGCCCGTATGGCCGCCGGGGACTAGCAGGACGCAGTGGATGAAGCTACAGACCTGCCAAAACACGGCATTACGAACTGCGACAGGATGCCTCCTGATGACGCCTCAACACCACCTTTATGACGAGGCCCAGATGCTTCCATTAAAGGAGCATAACATAATACTCTGCAAGCAGTTCCTCGCTGGGAGCCACAGACGTGGCCATCCCAGCGGGCAACTGCTCGCGGAAGAGCCCTCGCCACGGCACGTCAGGAGGCATCTTTACGAACTGACAGACGAAGTCCAGAGGTATATCAAACAACTTCTGGACCCGTCAACCTACCGACAGGCCCTGAACGGCATTCACAGGGAATCAGTCTCAAGTTATGTAGACTCCCGCCATGTGAATGCCGTTCTAGGCACACAACCACCGGACGTGGACGGGACAGAACTTTGTCTGCCTCGGGAGACCCGCACTACATTAGCCCAACTTCGCTCTGGCTATTGCAGCAGGCTCAACAGCTACCTGAGCAGAATCAACGAGGATGTGCCCAACCAATTCCTGGCATTTGGAGAGTCGCCACATGACTCCCGGCACCTCTTCACATGCCCTGGGAACCCCACTCAGCTACCGCCCCTGTCCCTATGGACAGCCCCTTTGGAAGTAGCACACTTCCTGGGCCTCCCCCTAGCTGAAATAGACGACAACGTTGATGGATGAACCGCCCCGAGCGGGGCTTAGCAGCCGCTACAACAACAACAACTACTAATGTAAATGCATGCAAGTGAAATGGGTCTGCTAGCCAGTCTTCCGCCGCAGCTGCCGCGATAAGGAAGAAATTGAAAGCTTAGAGTACTATCTCTGTCGCAGCCATGCCCAGCGAGGGCTAGACGGCTCTCATTTAATTCTTTGATTTCATGGCGAACCTAAGCGCAGCAGTCACTTATGAATTCTCGCGTTCCCTTCGAGTTCTCTACTCTTGGATGCAGGCAGCCATCCCAACCTACCAACCCAGTGGGCGGGCGGCAGTCTATTATGTAATTCTTCTATCCTCTTATTGGCTCTAAAGCCTTAGAGAGGCGCCACCATTATTAGGCGTCCTTGATTATCAGCATTCTACTGATATATGTAAGCACATAAATTTAGTGTATTGTGTTATCACTTCACAGCGGTCAATGTGCAAGCCAAGCTTAATAAACAGTTTAACCAAAAAAAATTGTTTATTGCCAAACTTTCCAAATAACAATTAACTAACTTAAGTACATACTTGTATAGTTCACAGGTTGAGACTTTATAATTTCTTGTGGGAATGTGGTGACATACATACATACATACATACATACATACATATGCAAGTATGTATGCATGATGTTCAATAAACATACAATCAGTGTGTACGCAGATAGTACTTATGTACATATGTATGTATGTTACATAAGTTTTTGTTTATTTTCTCGCGCCATTCATAAATCTCAATCGATTTCGTATTCGTTAGCTCCTCGGCTGCCATCACAAATTTCATTTCGTATTGCTGACATTGGAATGCAGTTTCATTCACCTCTGTGGTTTACTACAGCACAAACTACTTTGGGCAAATACTAAGATGGCGCGACTTGCAGCATTTTTATTCAACGCTTTTGAGCTCACCTATGCTGGTATGCATGAATAATTTGTAGGTATTTATATACATACATACTCTATACCCTGCAGTAAAATTTAGAGAGAGTCTGAGAAAGCGCTAGTTCCGAACTACATATCTCAGAACTATCTCTGAACTAGTGCAAAAGGAATGCAAGGCGCGACAGTTGAAACTTGCTGTGTAAATGTGCAAATGCTCACTACTCGTACAATACGAAAGTAACTCAGCGAGATGTCCTCCGACTCAAGCATCGTTGGTCGCGAGTTCAAATTGCGGTGGAGGCAGTTGTGAGTTTTCAAATTAAATGAATTTAAATTGTTGCGTGCAGCTTACAATAATTTTTTAAAAATTAAAATATGTAACAAAAATGTAATCTGTAAAAGAAAAGAATAAACGAAAAAAATATCCAAAAATCGAGTCTTCCTTAAAAAAAACTGTCCAAAACGGAACCGACTAAAAACTAGTTGCAAAGTAATGCACTGGGCGACAATTGTCACCGCTAATGACATCGCCGTGTAAAACTAGACAGTTGAAAGCATTGCCTGGGTATTAAGCTAAAACTAGTACTGTCGGAAAAAGGTCTAGTTCTATGCTAGTTCTGAGCTAGTCAGATTTTCTGCAGGGTATGTACATACATAAACGTCAACATGACATCAACTTATGAAAGTTTATCCAAACGGTACTGTCCAAAGTTGCTATTAACCGTGAACACAGCACAAGAGCCAGTAAATCTTCGAAACTGCAAAACGACCTTAACATGTCTAAAAAAAATATATAAGTTTTTATGGAAGAACTTGGTGACGATGTGGCGAGATGAGAGATGAAATAAAGGCGTCTGCATAGACGTCACCTCATTGATGCATTCAATACCCAGCAATGCACATATGTCCTAAACAGTTCGATGAATTTTGTGTGTATATGTACATATGTATGTATGTATGTACATACATTCAGCGTCCAAAATATGCATACCCTGACGTTTTGTCGATTTTATTTACATACTTCGGTATATATATTTTCAATACCAAAAACCACAAAACCACAAAAACCAAATTTTTTAATTGCAAATGCAAAAAAAATTTCAAAAACTTGCATAAAAATTTTCAATTCGATTTCCTAGAAAAATTTTGAGTATGCACAGTTTTGTAGTCCATTAAATATTAGTATAAGTAGGTAGGTAGATAGATATGGCTGTCACTGATACGCTGGGACACACAAAGGCCACGAGTCGTTCTGCGTTTCTACCTATAAGTGGCCTGTTAGAGCACCAATCGTGTGAGATCTATCCTCCCTCTTTAGAGAGTATAAGCTTCGAGACCTTTTTTGATCCCTCCTCGGCTAAGTTCGCCGAGACACTCAACAGATCGTAGATTGCATCCATCCTTCGCGACGCGAGCTAAGTGATATACAAGTGCTTTCCCTTAAAATAAATTTTTACCACGAGTGTTGAATGAGATAGCTCTTTTCTAAGACTTTTGTGCTAGAATAACAAAAGTCTTTCGAACTATCTGGGCATTTGTCTTTCATTTGTCTTACGAAAACTTTTTACTGTCTTAGCCAGAATTGCCCTGTTAATATTAGGCGATTTCTCAAACTCAGAAAGTCAAATTCCACGTATTTGGACATTCCTTATATAGACAAATTTACTAAATGTTGGTTCACGCAAGGCAGGGTTCACGTATGTAGTTGCGGGTACACTGTACTATAAATGAAGACAATTTCTGAATTTTCGATTAAAAATTTTCAACTAGAAGGAAAATGTTTATTACCTGATTTTGTGTGATTCGGATGATTGTTCCGAATCGATTCCATATTAAACACACTTTGGTATATTTAAGTTTCCAGAAACGAGATATTTCCTGCAGGCCACAGAAAAGTGCATACATTGCAATGCATTGGTTGGTTTGGTGGGTGAGATGATGCGACAATCCGATGTGAATAGTGTTGTTACCGTCGCAATGGAATGTGGTTCTGCAACTCCACAACATTGCGAATTCTGCTGTGTATGCGCACACATGGAGGCGTTTTTTTCTTATTCTTAGTGGCATTGAGGTGGTTTGTTTTTTGTTTCTCATTCTAGGAATACTTGTGATGCAGAAAATTCGACAGTTTTGAAATTCCACAATCGTTAAAGCCAGTTTGAAATGGCAGAAGAGCTTAATAGCTAAAGCGGGGTACTAACGACAGAAACCTCTTCAAACTGAAACATATTTGTCAAACAGGTTTGTCGAGAGTAGCGCTGCAATACATTACTGCTGTTGCTTTTACCAAGCATTTGGTTGTTGGGAATAAAGTTCTCGAAATTTTTTTTAATTTTCTAGATAGCTTTTAAAACAAGCAACTTCTTATTATAATATAATAAATACTCGTTTAATGAAGTTCAACATATTTTGCGGTAAAAATGTCGACAAATAGGTCGATTTCTATACCGAAATATACACATACTTAATTATATACTGTGTACAGATTGGATACATATATAGTGTAATCGATACTAAAGCGAACAGCGGCTTTTGTTTAAATGTACGAACCTCCACGTGATCAATTCCAATTGCAGCTTTTTCGGCTCCATTTATTTCATATCAATGGTCAAACATTGACAACTCATAAACAATTTTTACGCAATTCAGTTATATGGGCAAATCTAAAAAAATAGGTACACTTTCAAAAAAAAAAAAATATTTTTTAAATTTGTGAGCACACCTATGTTTTATATATAATTTTATTCGTAATCTTTTAATAAATCGATTTATAGAAGTATAATTCATTTTAATCAAGCGCTTCAAAAGTTGGAAGAGGAATAAACATGAAATAGAAAACAAAAGAATAAGCTGGGTTCAAATTACGCTGTTCAAGTTGTAAACTTTCAGCAAAGATTTTGAAAGTCGAACTCACTTAATTAATTGGCTCCATTTTTCGAGAAAACGGCACTTGAAATTTTGATTAAATTTTAACTATTTTATAAATAACTCTCTCAGTTTTGAAGTTATTTTACTAAAATTTTGCACACAAGAGTTTTTTAATATTACCTTAATTATTTCTAAAAATTATCGAAATAGGTTCACATTAACATATAGCTCCAATACTACTGATTACTCAGATATGTGTTTTTGTGCTATAACTCTAATTTCATATCTGAATAATAAATTGTATGCGTGCTATATGTTAAATTGAACCTAAACTAAATTTTAACCTGTTTAATTGGAAAACAACGTCTCTGATCAATCAGTTGTATGGAAGCTAGATGTTTTAGTGAACCGATTTCGACGATTTTAAGGAATAATTAAGGTAATATTAAAAAACCGTTATGTGCCAAATTTTAATAAAATATCTTCAAAACCCGGGGACTTTTTTATAAAATAGTTAAAATTTAAGCAAAGTTTCAAGTACCGCTATCTCGAAAAGTGGAGCCAATAGGGTAAAACTGAGGATTGAATTTAGAAGGCTCCAATTAAGTAAGAGCAACTATCAGAACATTTGTCGAAAAAAAATTGCTTTGATACAACTCTCGAAATATTCTGACTAAAAGGAGCATCATTTAAAGTAGTAAATCGGGGTTTTTACACACTTCTAGAGGAAATTTTTTTAAGCATTTTGCAGGTATATGTAATTTTGTAAGGATTAGCAGTTATAGAAAGATTTAGATCATTTCGACGTATTTTCCAAATGTGCCTTCAATTAAGGTGTTTTCGGAATAAAAATTACGCTCAAGATCACAGAATATTTTATCTTTAAAAGATAGTTTATTCTGAAAGCACACCTCTTGCTAAGGTATCAAATGCTTCAAAACTTATACGCGATAAACCGAAAATTTTGAAAATTTTGAAATGTGGAGTTACAGACTTTGTCTTACATACTTACTACATATGAAGTGTACACATAAAAATGCCCATTTAATTTCAAATCAGAATATGGTGTCCTTCAAAAGTTATGACATAATTAAAATCTTAAAATTACATAAAAAATTCACTTGTTTTCATTATTTTTTAAATTTAAACGCCTATAATTCAAAAGTTATGCAGGAAATTGATCCAAATTTTTTTAAGGCTTCAAGTATACGTCAATGAATTATAACCAAAAGCAACCAGCTTGATTTAGCTCACAGCAGTAGTAGTGAAAATAAAGCTAAATAACACAAAGGTTACTTGTTTTTTAGATTTGCCCATATACATACTTCATAACTTCATCAGCAATTTTTTTATGTATACATATAATTCAATTTCGGAAAAAGTTTCAGTTGATTTATCAACGTTTGACCATCGATATTGGCCTGTCTTCTGCCAAATTCATTAGGGGGGTCCAAAATTTTATTAGAAAAAGTGAAGTACGAAATCTCTGTTTCTTCAGGAGACTTCCAATAATAACACCCAATTGTTTATTTTACTATTTTTTTAATACTAGCGATTTTTTTAGTGGTCCCCTATTGCATTTTTCCTGCTTTTTTTGGGGACCTATAAAAATAATTATTATTAAAAAATGGTGCAATAAACAATAGGGTATTATTCTTTTCAAGAATTATATACCATTTCTACTAAAACAAATGTTTCCCGCATAGAAACTACATAGAAAACTGTGAGTGCCTTGAGCGACCTCTAAATATTTTTTCGATTTCGAAAAAAAACAAAACGGGAATAATTTGGTGCGGTATGCAACAATCCTAAGTGATGAGAGCATTACAATTCCGACTTTACTTATTTATTTTTTATCTCCCTAATGTAGTAACTACATACTAGTGGTATACGCCGCCGAGCCACGCCGCCGCCGCCGCCGTTTTTTGTCATTTCTCACGCGGCGGCGGCGTTCGGCGCCTAAGTAATTTTGTACAAAATTTTCATGATGTATGTACATTGAATACATCGTTTGAAGGAACTAAACTCTACTTGTATAAAACACAATTTTACGAAATGAAAAGTACATTTTTAAATTAGTTTTTTTTGCATAATTTGGGACACTAGACAAGAATATGATCTCCTTTATTTTTCCAAAAATAGCGTAACTCGTAAAAAACATAGGTAAGATATTTTTCGACGAAACCGTTTATTACAGTTAAATTAGGGTCGAATACTGGTAATCTAACGATTTTTTCCCGCAGTAGACAATTCTTTTCAATACTACAACAATACTACTTTTTATACACCTAGTACAACAACAAGAAAGTTATAAAACATCAAAAATTTTAACGCCAATATCTCAGAAAGCAGTTTTAGTAGAAGCGGCCTCTTTGCATCGAACTCCTTAATTATTGGAGATAAAGTAAAGACAAGTTGATTTTTCTATGTATTTTTTAAATATTTTAAACAAACACATTTTTTGCTAATATTTACATTCCTAAGTTATTTTATTCTGGGGTCCCACATACGTATACAAGTACTAGGTGGTTGTGTGAAAATTACGTTAGCATTCCTTAGTGGGGGTCAAACCCCAAGAAGGTTTTGCGCCCTCGCATCGCAGTGTTTTCTAAACAGGGTTATGGTAAACATTAGTATTATTTTTCATTACATTCGGTTCTCCTTAGAAAAATTTGGCGCTTCATATTTTAGTGGAAATGTTAACCATCTATAAGCTATTTTTTCAACAGTGGGTCTAAAAGGCCCGTTCTGGTTCGAGTTGATGGGTTAAACTTTTGGCAAAAAAGTAGATCAACCTTGTTTTCAATGTGTAATCCGCAAAAAATCGTAAGAACTCCGTAATTTAACA